GCGCGGGGGCGGCGGGCAGTTCGTACTTCTGCAGCTGCAGCAGGTACGAGTCGGCCGTGGGCACCGCCCCCCAGCTCACCTCCAGCGACGTGGTGTTAGCCCTGACCAGCTGGACACGGCCGGGGGCCGGGGGACGCTCTGCGGGGGGAGAAAAACACCTGAGTGACAGCTGAGTGACAGCTGAGTGACACCTGAGTGACACCTGATTGACACCTATAACCCTCACATCACACCCAGGTACCACCCTGACCAGCTGGACACGGCCGGGGGCCGGGGGACGCTCTGTGGGGGGAGAAAACACAGGGGTGACACCTGAGTGACACCTGAGTGACACCTGAGTGACAGGTGACTGACACCTGTAATCCTCATATCACACCCAGGTACCCCCCTGACCAGCTGGACACGGCCGGGGGCCGGGGGACGCTCTGTGGGGGGAGAAAAACAACGGGGTGACACCTGAGTGACAGCTGAGTGACACCTGAGTGACACCTGAGTGACCCTCACATCACACCCAGGGTACCCCCTGAGATGGGGGTGTTAGCCCTGACCAGCTGGACACGGCCGGGGTCTGGGGGACGCTCTGTGCGGGGAGAAAAACAACGGGGTGACACCTGAGTGACACCTGAGTGACACCTGAGTGACACCTGAGTGACACCTGAGTGACAGATGAGTAACCCTCACATCACACCCAGGTACCCCCCTGACCAGCTGGACACGGCCAGGGGCTGGGGGACGCTCTGTGGGGGGAGAAAATACAGGGGTGACAGCTGAGTGACAGCTGAGTGACACCTGAGTGACCCTCACATCACACCCAGGGTACCCCCTGAGATGGGGGTGTTGGCCCTGACCAGCTGGACACGGCCGGGGGCCGGGGGACGCTCTGTGGGAGGAGAAAAACACAGGGGTGACACCTGAGTGACAGCTGAGTGACACCTGAGTGACAGCTGAGTGACAGGTGACTGACACCTGAGTGACACCTGTAATCCTCATATCACACCCAGGTACCCCCCTGACCAGCTGGACACGGCCAGGGGCCAGGGGACGCTCTGTGGGGGGAGAAAAACACCTGAGTGACAGCTGAGTGACAGCTGAGTGACAGCTGAGTGACACCTGTAACCCTCACATCACACCTGGGTACCCCCTGAGATGGGGGTGTTAGCCCTGACCAGCTGGACACGGCCGGGGGCCGGGGGACGCTCTGTGGGGGGAGAAAATACAGGGGTGACACCTGAGTGACACCTGAGTGACAGCTGAGTGACAGCTGAGTGACACCTGAGTGACACCTGAGAGTGACACCTGAGTGACAGCTGTGACAGGCATGTGAGCAGAGTGCAATAGGGGGTGTTGGCCCTGACCAGCTGGACATGGCCGGGGGCTGGAGGCCGCTCTGTGGGGGAAAAATAGCAGGGTGACAGCTGGGTGACACCTGAGTGACACCTGGGTGACAGGTGACTGACAACTGTAACCCTCACATCACCCCTGAATGACACCTGGGTCACCGAGGTAGCCCTTAGAGCACCCCTGGGTGACAAATGGGTGACACCTGTGGCACAGCTGTGTCACCTACAGCACAGCTGTGTCACCTACAGCACACCTGAGTCACCTGGGTCACACCTGTGTCACCTACAGCACACCTGGGTCACCCACGTACCACAGGTCCTTGCAGCCTCCCCAGGTCCTTGNCGTACTTCTGCAGCTGCAGCAGGTACGAGTCGGCCGTGGGCACCGCCCCCCAGCTCACCTCCAGCGACGTGGTGTTAGCCCTGACCAGCTGGACACGGCCGGGGGCCGGGGGACGCTCTGTGGGGGGAGAAAAACACCTGAGTGACACCTGAGTGACATCTGAGTGACATCTGAGTGACACCTGAGTGACACCTGAGTGACAGCTGAGTGACAGGTGACTGACACCTGAGTGACACCTGAGTGACAGCTGAGTGACAGGTGACTGACACCTGAGTGACACCTGAGTGACACCTGAGTGACCCTCACATCACACCTGGGTACCCCCCTGGGATGGGGGTGTTGGCCCTGACCAGCTGGACACGGCTGGGGGCCAATGGCCACTCTGTGGGCGGAGAAAAATACCAGGGTGACAGCTGAGTGACACCTGAGTGACAGCTGGGTCACACCTGAGTGACAGGTGAATGACACCTGAGTGACAGGTGTACCTCTCACATCACCCCTGAGTGACATCGGGGTCACCGAGGTAGCCCTTAGAGCACGAGTGGGTGACAACTGGGTGACACCTGTGTCACCTACAGCACACCTGCGTCATCTGTGTCACACCTGTGTCACCTGTGTCACACCTGTGTCACCTACAGCACACCTGGGTCACCTACAGGACACCTGTGTCACCTGTGGAACACCTGAGTCACCCATGGCACACCTGTGTCACCTACAGCACACCTGGGTCACCTGTGTCACACCTGCGTCACCTGTGGAACACCTGTGTCACCTACAGCACACCTGCGTCACCTGTGTCACACCTGTGTCACCTGTGTCACACCTGTGTCACCTACAGGACACCTGGGTCACCTACAGGACACCTGCGTCACCTGTGGAACACCTGTGTCACCTGTGGAACACCTGTGTCACCTACAGCACACCTGTGTCACCTGTGTCACACCTGTGTCACCTGTGTCACACCTGTGTCACCTACAGCACACCTGTGTCACCTGTGTCACACCTGTGTCACCTACAGCACACCTGTGTCACCTGTGTCACACCTGTGTCACCTACAGGACACCTGTGTCACCCAGGTATCGCAGGTCCTTGCAGACCCCTGAGCCTCCCCAGGTCCTTGCAGCCCCCCCAGGTCCTGGCAGACCCCAGACTCACCTGTCTCCAGGTACCACAGGTCCTTGCAGCCCCCCTGAGCCCCCCAGGTCCTTGCAGCCCCCAGACTCACCTGTCTCCAGGTACCACAGGTCCTTGCAGCCCCCCTGAGCCCCCCCAGGTCCTGGCAGCCCCCAGACTCACCCGTCTCCAGGTACCACAGGTCCTTGCAGCCCCCCTG